CTACTATATATATATATATATATATATATATATATATATATATACCGATTATTACGATGTATTTATCCATAAAAACAGTAGATAAGCGAACACATCTATGTATATTACATTATCATAAATATATACATGTAAAATACATGTGAAATAAAAATTTAATGTAATAATAGCAACAATTTTTATTAATACCTTAAATTCATTATTCCAACAATCCGAAACTATGTCTTAAATTTGTAAGACTGAAAATTGTTTTAAATGCAATTAAATTAAAAATTTAACTAAATTAAATGTGGCAAAATTATTCATCATATCAATTAAGATTATAATAATTTTAAAAGATCTCTCAGTTGTTGAAAAAAAATTTATTGAGTTAGTAGGGAAAGGAAAGGGAAAAGAAATCTTAAAATATATTATAAAATTAGCAAAACTATTTATTTATTTAGAGGCTTTAATTTTAATAATCTTGCATGCGAATAAAAAGAAATTTTATCATAAAATTTTAATTTCAACTAAATTACTATTTTCTGAAATATTAATAATAAAAAATTTTCAGTATCATACATTGAATACAAACATTGCATAATACAAACGTGACTAATATATTGAATGACATAATCCAGATATTAATAAACAACCGTCTTTGCTATAATAGTTATCATCATTGATTATCCGAGTAACCGATAACGATAACGCTCTAACAATATTGATTTTCGTATTATAAGTATCCTGTATAAAATATAATCAATTTTTAAATTTTATATTTGAAATCTATCCTTCCTCTCTCTCCTCCAATTTTTTTATCGATCGACTTTTCCCAATTATAACTTCATTACATAAAATACGAAACATTATATAATGAATCAATAGAATTGAATCAATAAAATTCTTTTCAATGAGCAAGTAATAATATACACGTTGATTATTATTTTTGAATTGATTTTATTTTTAATTAAAAATAATTAAAAATTATGACAATTATATTATAACAATTAAATTCTCTCTAAATAGATTAAATTAAAATTAATCTCTCAAAATAATAAAAATTATTGACATATAATATAATATAATTTTTCCATTGAAAAATAAATTTCTGAAATTCTGACATTATTTATATACAATTGATTTAACTTTTAAATTGTAATATTATAAAAGTTGTACATAATACATAATCGATGCTGTAATAAAATTTAAATTTATTACGTATCAATTCATTAATGTTATTAGTTTGTAAATTATTGTGCAAGAGACTTCTGAAAATGATATGTATCTAACCAAATATTTCCGCTTCGTGCCAATCCGTGCCCAGTCGGCGCATCTCGTGACAGTGCGCACAAATACGGGTTTTGTTACTAGAAGCCCGCGGGTTTGTAACGAGAACAGTTTATTTCACACGTATTGCGGAACGAATCGTGAAATCGGTCAAATACACGCGAAGATATAGGTGTCATTCGTTAATTCATTTGTAAAACGCTTCTACTTTCTTTTATCCAATCGGCATTCAATATAATCTTTTTTTTTCTTTATCTTAGCTCAAAGAATTCTTTTTTCCTATTGGTTACAATATGATTTGACTTGATCCGATTTTCGTGTTTACGATCTTATTCGATCCGATTTGTAGTAATTCGTGAATTTTCATTGTGCAATCAATCGGATAAGAAAATCTTATCTTAAATTCGAGTTTAAAAGTATCAAAAAGAACTGATGTGAAGAGAGTGCATTGCAAAGAATCAAACAGGTAACGATGATATAAAATTGAAAATGTTTGCATTATTTATAAAACAAATTTTGCACGTGACAAATTTTGATCGGTTTTTATATAATAATTTATATGAGAAAATGGTGAAATGACAGAATTAAGAAATGACAGATAAGGATGTGAAATCGTTGCATTTGATACAAGATCACATAATATGATTATGAGAATAATGTGTATTATTATGAAAATATGACTTTAATTCTTTTTATCGATTATTGAATATTCTTCATCATGATTGTATACAATGTAATGTAGACGCAAATGAATTTAATCGAATTATATCTAAAAGTTAAAATAAAAAATTATATATTATATATTATATTATTATAAAACATCGGTTTGTTGATCTAATTTAGAGAAACACGTGAATTTATCCACATATAATCAGCTAGTACTCATTATTTTATACGATAAACGTTAGATTTAACCTTGAAACGTAGTGACGAGAGGTATTATTTATAGGGATTTATACACATGTTTTAATAACTCTATATGAAATTGAAATTGATAAAAATCTCTATAATAACTTTGAAAAAAATCGTTAAATTGTATATTTGAAGGAAAAATATTCGATAATTCTCATAGAATTGTTGTCATCATTAATTAATACAATTTTTATAAATCGATTTTATAAATAATGATAGATTTGATAATAAATAAGTGAAATATAATATAAATTAATATATATTTAATTCATCAAGAAATTAAGAAGAAATATTATTTATTCTTCTGAAAAAAACATTTCTAGTATAAATTATAATAGTATAGTATATATGTAATCATTATAGATATTAATTATAATTATATATAATTAATTATTTAAAGTAATATTCATCAAAAAATTTTATAAGATAATTTTTTAATTAATTTTAATAATATTCATCTTTATATTTTTAAAATTATAATTGAATTGAAAAAATCAAATATATGTGTAACTATATGTGTATATATGTAACTATTTGTCGAAACATTATTAATTATTATATATTTACAGAATAAAAATCATTTTTATAAAATCAAATTCAAGTGAATAATTTTTCAGTATTTTAGAATCTTTTGTATAGCAATGATATATATATATATTTTTTTTTTTTATAATAATCTAACATAAAAATATCTAAAAATATCTAACGTTCTAACATTCAGTTCTAAGTATATTACCCTAATCTACATTTTGCATTTTATTAGCATTAAATTACATGTTTGAGCGGAAATTAATCGATAATTGATGGCTATACGATTTCTTGATTATGAATGGAACTTTATGGAATCGAGTTACAATTCCGCAAGAGTCATTTTTCTGTGTATTTTGCTCGATTCTAATATACTCTTCTTGTAACTTTTTCTATAAATCATTATATCGATTACAATTAAATAAGAATTATTTATCTTAAATTTTTTTCTATAAATTTTGTACTATAAGTTTTGTATTGTGCATTACATATTCTTATATCAAAAACTTTATTAATTTTATTGAATTGAGTTTTGTTTATTAAATTTTATCATACGTTTTAATTTTATCATCATGATAAATAATGGATAGTAGATTTTATTAGTAAGTAATACTATTCAAATATTTTGTATCTGAATAAACATTTCAAAATTTTCTAATTCTATTAAATTATTATATTATATATAAAGATTTTCAATGTGTGAAAAATACAGATTCTCTTATATATTATCTCTTTAAGGAAATTAATTTTATTTTTTAATCAATTAAAATTTAAATAAAAATTATTTGAAAATGATTTATTTATAATTAATACAAAATAAAATTACTTTTTTATATAATTTCTAAAATAAAAATAATTAAGTAATTTAAAATACAATTTACAATTTCAAATTATTTTTTTATTTTCATTTTAAATAAAACGTAATAATCCCTTATTTAAATTTAATAATCGAAAATTCGTAATTAATGATGGAACTATTAACAATTATTCAACATTTATAATATATAATATACGATTTTTTTTAATAAGTAATTATTATATTTATTTTATTGATTGTTGATTTAGTTTTTTTAATAAAGTAATTATCATAATCATTTTATTGATTGACGATCTATTTTACGCTTATATAATTCAGAAAAATTCGCTTTTGAAACATAAATATAATAAGAAATTCATCATGTTGATTTATCGATTTATCAACTAATATATGAAACATTTACAAAAAAATAAAAATCGATATTCGTATCTTGCATTTTAAATGCCACACGTTCTTACATATTATATCATTCACGCCATTCATTATTGTACGTAAAAGATAATTATAATAAAATGCATGAAACTACTTAACTATATAACTTCTCTTTTGATTTCTCTCAATGATTTTTAAATATATTCTAGAAATTAACATTTTGAATAATTTTTTCCTATACTAGTAGCTAATTTAGTTTTTGATATATATTTGCAAAATTGCATCTATTAGATCAAATTTCATTTATATGTGTAATTTATTTACGCATACGTGATAACGTGCACGTAAGCATGCGAACATTATTTATTTTTTATTAATACAAATCGTAATGATAGACAATTCTTATAATAGAATCAATCAATCAAAAAGTTAGATTTTTGTAAAATGTAACAAGCTTGATGAAATATCTCAACTCTTATATCAAATTTAAATATTCCGCAGAAATCACTATATTATTTATATACCAACTTTTGGATCAAAATGAAATATAAAATAATTTTTTCCTTGAAATTGCAATAATTTAATATCATTACTAGAATATTTATTTTCTATTATTTTATTATTATAACAATGGTCGTTGTAATTTTAGTCGCCTAAATTTATATTATTTATATACCCTAAGCTCCAAAACTCGTTATGGATAAATATTAAAAGTGTGATAATATTAACTTATTAAATATAACATATATTTTGAATATCAAATGATCATGATGAAATGATATAGTTTATAGAAATAATAGATAAGTAATTGCATAAATTGTCATGGATGCACGGATACATATAGATAAAATTCAATATAATAATAATATTATTTTTTGTAAATATTTCAAAAATGAGCGGATATGTAGGGAAAATGTTCAAAATTCTTGTTTTCTTTAAAATATATCAAATTTATCAGTAAAAATTCTGTTTTTTAAATTAATTATCATTAGTTTTATTTTTCAATTAATCTTTATTGAAAGATGAAAATTACACGTAGATTATAGAAGAATTAAGGTTTACGAGCAATGTTTCGTTATAATTGTTGCCATCAAATCATTTTATATTGACTTCACTATAAGAACGATTTGACCATGAACCATGAATTCTCAACAATGAATACTTATTAAAGACTATGCCGTTGAAAATGGAAAGTGAGCTATAGAAATTAAGTTTCGAGTTTATAAAATACATAGTTATATCGTTTTGTATGTCATTCGATAATCGATCAATTATTTGTTTTACAAATAATTGCAAATGTCTCTTAATATATTCTTTTTCTATTCTTGCTTTTTCATATAAATAGACTGATTATATTATTAATACATAAATGTCTTTTAAAATACATAAATGTCTTTTAAAATACAAAAAAATAATTTTATTTTAAAATTTTTGTAAATTACAGAATTAAATGTATTTTAATTTATACGATTGAATTACATTATACAATTATAAAAATTCCCGCTCTTTTTTACAAACACTCTTTTATAGTCACATAGTTTACCCTCTTTCCATTCACTTCAATTTACATATATACATTTTAATTCTAGTATACTCATGTTTCGATATTTATTCAAATTTTTTTTACATAAAGACAAACTTCACAATATCTATGTTAAAACAATGCTGTCTTCTTTAATATAGTTGTCGTAATTGATATTTCAAAATATTTGAAAAA